AGGGAAAATGGGTGCCAGCAGAATTGTGACATGTTCTTATGGGGAAACCATGAAGGTGGGGGGAAGAGGAGAGAGAAATCTCAGAGAATACTAATCCACTTAAGAACACTCAAAAGCAATGACAAAAAGTATAAGGGGAGGAAGAGGGTGAGATATTTTTGGATATTTGTTCATGATAAAATTTGTAAACTTCTTATAAAGTTATAATGCATTTATAACCTTTGACAGAGAGCAAATAATTATCATCACTATAGCACTCTGAGGTAGGCAGGATTCAGTTAACTGTTTAAGTGAACGTGGACTACCACTAGCAGCCGACACCACAAGACAGAAGGGTAATTTTTGCAGGTGGACAATCCAAAGCTCCATGCAGAAAGACACTCAGAACAAGTAAGGTTCACTAAAAAGGAGAGTATAAAATTAATCACTATTAAAGATCCAATCACTTTATAATATCACGATCTTTGTTAACATGCTGCCCAGTAGCACCTGCTTCTTGATAAAAGCTGCTATTTTAACAAAATGCAACAAGAGAAAAATGACATTTAAGCGGAAATTTTTTTAGTAATGCAGGCTGAGAAGACTGTTAGTACAGTAAGCTGGAGTTCACCTTCTGCAACCTCATCAAGCAGCACAGTAATCTTCTTGTCTTCTAACAAACGGTCCTTCAAGAACTTCATGAAGATTCCATTGGCCAACCCTGACTGCTGAATTTCAAAAGCTTCTGCTCCTTGGCACCTGTGAGATCACCAGTGTCAGACAAGGAAAAAACACTGAAACATCTGCATGATTAAGATCAATGTGAGGACAAAGGAGTAAAGTTATGTTGGGAATGGGGGAAAGAAATCCTACAATTTGAAAATTAGGTTGTGTCTAAGGCCAACCTGCTCTTCATGTTCATTTGCAAGCAACTCATTGTGGGAAGATGTCACTCACAATCAAGTCACAGACCAGAGCTGATGTCAAAATGTTTATATGACACAGGAACCAATCTATATGCTACTCCTCCAATAATTCATTAGTTTATATTTCTGGTATTTTTTTCTAGAACTTTAAATTGCATTGAGAGAAGAGACACATGATCAAAGAGGGTACAGCACGTAGGATATAGTTCATCAACTGCTCCACAGTACTTGAAACTCACAGGGCAGTCAGTGCCACTAGCAACACACAGGACCTAATTGCCCCTTCCTCATTACCACAAAGAAACAGAACATTACAGGTCTGAAGGTAAAAGTTGCTTTTTTCTTCTCTGCATTTTTTTCATCCCTAATAAATAATACTGACTACAGCACGCCTACATGCAACCATTAGAAAAAGACCAGGAACACTGTCCAGCAGCTTCTGGTTTGCTGAAAGCAGTTCTCTCACTGGGCTTGCCCTGTGGCTGAATGGGGACATTAAGTACTGGGAATCATTACATATGGATTTCCATAGTCAGTTAGACTGTGGAAGGATTCAAAGAACAAAGTAAAAAAGAGAGCATGAGGACACAGACATGGATATAAATTACTGGTCCTTTAACATCACAGTTAGTATTTGTCTGTAAAAGAATAGCTGAACAATCTCAGCAGTCACTTCTGGTTTCAAAACCTCGGTGGCACAGGAGGAGAAAAATTTTCTTACGTTGCATATCCAAAAACAATGTTGGCCGTAACCTTCAGAGCATCCAAAATAAGAATTGTGTCATCATATTCATTTCTGCAATAAATGGAAACACAAAAAAGTAAAATAATAATTTGAGAACCAATAACGGTAACAAACTCTACAATTGTTCAAAATAGCAAACCAGCATAGTTCAGAAACAGTAATTTTTTTTCTCTTCTACAACTCTGGAATGAATCCTGACTGCTAAAAGACAAAAATCAGTGTCACCAACACCCTTCACGAAGACAATGTAAAGACACAGTCAGATATCATGCATTACCCAGATGAGGGCACGCTCTATTAACTAATATAGAGTTTGGCTATAACCTCCTAAAAAATGATTTCTGATAACTAGCCATTTTAGGTTATAACAACACTACATGTAGGTTGTTTTGGTTTTTTTGTTTGTTTGTTTGCTTTTTTCCCCCCAAAGCATGGTGTCTGCATAGTTAACATGAGGCTTATGGAGTAGTATTTTCTATTTGGACAGCAGATTGTGAAGCAGAATTGGGTCACTGGCATTTCATTAGCAGTGAAGTTTAGAGGCTCAACAAACACTAAAGCACTAGCAATTTTCTATTATGAAACATTCTTTAGAGACTAATTTTCAGAAGTACTGACTGAAGAGCTGATTTCAAGTGCAAGTTTAATCGGGCATAGTAGTCTCTTAATATGGAAAGAAAATAGTACTTTGTTCAGAAAAATCTGGTGAATTGGTTGATTTTTAAGCTCTAAATAAAGATACAACATCACCAGCACAAAAGCAGTCCACCAAATCCACGTCTCTTAAGAGTTCTAAAATAAGCTCTTCACTTGAGCCCTCCTGTTAAGTTAACATGCCTTTGATCATATGAATTCTCCTTCCTCTCTGTAATGATAAAGATGGTTAATGATGCAAGGGGAAAGGGCAATTTTTCTTCTTTAAGATGCCTAATTTCACTTTTATCTAATGACTGATATTTTCTAATTTTTAAACAACAAAAAAAGAAGAAATAAATGTCATTCAAATCAAGAGGCAAGTATCTACCCATGGAAACAGAAAGTCTAATCACCAGCTTCACATTTCCATCCATGGCCAAAGGCAAAATAAGACTATGAGTAAATCCTCTTTAACAGCGCTCAGGTGCAGGCTGTGACTACTCAGAACCCAGGACAGTGAATTCTGAGCCTAGACTAAAGATTCCTCCTCAGCTTGAAGTCCAGTTTTCTCTCAAGATCCTGTGCTATTCCTTTGAAGTGGCTGTTCAGATTTATTTGTTCATTTTTAAAACAGGCTCAGTTTTAATCTATTGCTGCAGGGAATAAACTGAACTTCTCAACTGGTTCCCAAAACCACAGTCACTATATCCTCTCCCTCTATCGTGAAGCAAAAACATCTCTCAAACATTGTAACCTCAGTTCTCACTACTCATGAATGATGAGACTGTACCTTTTCCGACACATATCCAGTAGGAACACATTAAGTCCCGTCTCTTTTTCCTGCATTAGTTTGAGGATGTTCTGCACACACAGACAGTTTGCAGATCGGTAAGGATTTGGAGCATCAATAGGAACCATGAAACTGTTTCCATAGTTTTCATAGCCATGGCCAGCATAGTATAACAAACCTGAGAATTCAAAATAAACGTGACTGAAAACACAGTTCAAGAGAACGTTGGAACATTTCTATAAATTTTAGCATAGTCAAAAACTTCATGCACTGTGTCCACACTATGTGTCTGCGGGAGATTAAGATAGAATCATAGAACTGTTTTTCTTGGATAAGACCTTTAGGATCATCGAGTTCAACTAAAGATGATTCAAGCTGCTCCAAGCAGTTTTTTTAATATCGATATAACTTTGTTAGTACAGGAAAGAAGGGGAGGTGGGGGGGCCACATTAACGTCAACTTCACAATACACAGACACAACAAATTTTTAAAAAATTAAATCACTCATGCCACAGAATCAATTAGATATTTGCATCAAACAAAAGCTAAATACTCTTAAAATGCTGTAAGTAGTTACAACCTCTAACAAGTGATCTGTTATGCATCATATATAACTCACAGAAACGAACAAGGAAGCGTGCCAACTGTAAAACATCTTCTCCACATGTGCAATTACAAAGCTTTAAGTAGCAGTGAGTCAGTGCAGATTTTATAGCTAGGAAAAAAATAACGCTGAAGAGTTTGGGTGGTTTTTTTTTTTTAATGAGAGATGCTGTCACCTTTAAAATCATCCTCCTTTAACTTTTATTTTTTTACTTATCTTAATCATTGGCAATTCTTAAAAGTAGCTTAACTAGAAAAAGAATCAGAGAACAACCTTGCTTACACTATGAGAGAATTTTCCAAGTTTTTAGTTTTGCTGTTTCCTCTGTACAGTCAGTTTCTCCATTTGTTTTTGTCTTTTTTATAGGTAGGGATAAGAAATATTTTTACACTTAAGAGGAGAAAAAAAAAAAAAAAAAAAAGATTATTCTGTGATCATATTTAGTAGGACATTCCCATTCCCAAACTACCAACAGCTCATCTTTAGTTGATTCCATCTACACCTCTTTAGGGTTACAGACTCATGACTCTTGTAGGTCTACTAAACAAATTCTTTGTATGCTTACCTAGACAAAAAAGATTATCCTACAGTCACCTCCCTTCATCAATACATAACAGTCTACAATATTTTAAGATTTAAAATCTTCAATAAAACATGCAGTAGTTTTGTACGAAGAAAACATATAATGGAATTAAAAAACTCTTTAACCCTGAAGAAGGGAACTGCAACATAAGGTGTAGATTTTACTTATACGAATAAAAATGTCAAATATTAATGTCATATCAATTTGCAGTCAGATTAGATGATCTTAGCATTAGTAACCTCCACTGCCATAAAATGCAGTTACCAGAAACTTGTACAATCAAATGGAATTTTCCTACTGTCAGTTCACAGTACTGCTTTTGCTTATCTTTGGCAAGCTCCATCTTCTAAAAAGAATTTTTATTTATCTATACAAAGCAGTCTATGGGTCAGATCTTCAATTAGTGTTTAGTGTTGCAGCTGAATAAAAGTCAACAGAGATATGACACTTTATGCTAACTGGAGATACGGTCTTCTTATGTCACTGTTCTTACCAAAAATAGCTGTGAAATTTCTGACACTACAAAACTTGAATATTCAGAAAAAACAAAGTAAGCCCGACCCTAACATCCTAAAATTCTCTACATTTAAGTCAGCCTGTGCAGGCAGGTATTCTAGCTGGTTTTACCTTTTCATCATAGAGAGTTACAACAAATTAAAATACTTCTCTCACACAGCCCTGCACTTTTCCCTGTAAAGGAATACCAAGATATAACTACAACCTTTGGTTCTCTTTTATTTGGAAGCTCTGAAGTCATTAACAACTATGTCAAGACCTTACAAACTGCTCCATTCAATCAGCAGTGCTCAATTTCTTTTTTTGGGAAACAGGCATAGTCGAGGTAAGCAGCCAGCAAGTGCATACAAGGTAAACCCCAGGATGCAAGGTTCACTTTAGCAAAGAGCCTAATGGTTATTCATCTGCCAGAGTCTCAGAAAATGGCAACAGCTTTATCCAATTAAAAGTTAGATTTCTAAAGGGCACAGAATTTTAAGTGCATGATTAAAAACCTAAACAAATCAAGGCCGGGCTATTTATAAGATTCCAATGGTTACCTGAGATGGGGTAGTTTCAAACGAGTCAAGTGCGTGAGGCCATGTCCTGTCCTAACTTAAAAGAAAACTCTTGAATTTAACTTACACAGAGTTTGGATCTGGACCTAAATCAGGGTTTACTTCAGATTATATATAGCTGAGTGTACGTTAGATACATAATTGGACTCACTGAAGGACATCAGTCTAATGTAAAGCGCTATTTATCAGAGTATTTCCTCAATGAATAGAAATATTTCAGAAATAACAACTACATTTATTTTGTATCCTTGAGCAGAAGACTGTGGTATTTGATGAGTACCTGCAATAGTTAACGTGCTGCGCTCAGGATCAGAAATAAATCTCTGCATACCCAGAGTAAGCAGAGTAAACATGTTTGGAGGGCCTCATTAGACACTTTGGCACAACAATTTTAAGTAGGCTCAAGTTCCACATAGACGTCAGCATTTAAGTGATATCTGTCTCTCACTCTCTCTCTCTCTTTTTTTAAGAAAGCAGTCAAACTATTTTTAGCCTCTAAAACATATGAGCCTATGGTTTTACCCTTTGTGGAATATAATATTAATTGCAGCCTACATTTAGAACAACATAAACTAGGACATTAGAGGAGACAATTATCATCACTTTGTTTACTACTCCTGTTCTTAAGGAATGATATCTGCGACACCACTTGCCTGGCAGTAAGCAAGAATTACCCAATGTCATATTAGGCATCATGAATATGTATAACAAGGACTAGAGAGAAAAGGCCACTCTGCCTCTTCTGTTTCGATCTATGCCCACTAAAAACGCAATAAATCATTCTCTATTTGTGCACTGACAACATCTCTTATACGCTTTAAGCCATTAACAGTCACTATCCAGAAAGAACAAAGTGACCATTTAAATCAAAGTAGTGATTGCCACACACTACTGGAAGAATAGTCTGCTCACCTTTCAAAAACATCAGCTTGCTGGAAAAATAAAACCACAAAAATATGCCCTATAAGAGCTTTCCTATGGTGCTGGGAAGAAACTCATAAAGGCTTTCAGTACTTTATTTTCTAAATTCATGTCAACAATTATAGAAAAAAATTGAGAAGGTGCAAAAATCTAAAAGCTCACTCAAATGCATAAGCATATCTATTTCCCAGGGAACAAAAAAAGCAAACTGCTATCAGAAAGTCTACTAAACTTTACTGCCATAATTAGTCTTCATGTCATGCAAGTTTTGGCTCTGACATAAATGCCCAAATGTCAGATCAGCCAGTTCTGCACAGACAGCATCAGGTAACACACCATTTAAAAAGTCATACTAAGAAATAATCTGACCTTGTGTTCCAAAAAAGAATCAAATAATGTTTTCTTGGGTGAGCGTTACTACAGGAATTCTGTAATTTAAATAGGAAAACTGGCAGAGCTTTTTGGTCTCTGTTCTAAGTAATTTATGGAGTCATTTATAGCTTTTAGAAAAATCACAAAAATAGTGGAAGTCAGCAGCAAACTCCTCAAAGTCCACAGAAGAACTTACACTTCAACATGTGAGTACTCATCTAAGAATCGATGCACATCAGCAGCAGTAACGCACACCAGACCCAACTGGTCAGTCATTTTCCCAGCAGAAGGCACCTCCTGGGCAGTATGCGGAGGAGAGCTTTAAATTATTATTAATATTCTATTCCAGGTATTTTAATAAATGGATGTGTCACTTGAATAACAAAAACTTAAGAGAAAAAAAAAAATGAAATGTGTTAAACACACATCTTTTAGTAAGCATACTTTGCTTCATTTGTCTTCCTACAGCTTAAACCAACACTGATGAGATGTTGCAGCACAATCATTAAAGTGATGCCACAATTTAAAGGTCAGAGCCTTGGGGTTTTGTGGGGTGTTATTTTTAAGTCTGAAGAGTTTAAGAAAAAGGAAAAAAAATTAAACCTGAGGGCTGCTGCCTGCTTAAGCAGCATAACCACTATTAAGCTTTCCATCTAATGTGCAAAAACACAGAAAGAATAAATTTTATACTCTATGTTCAGATCTTCCACAGAGCTATGAAACAACAGCTGTACCCAAGTTCTGCCCAAACAGGAATCTTAGTATTCAACTCAGTGAAAAGTCCTTTATTACTGACAAATCAGAAAGTCAAAACCCGAAGTCCGTAGCTCACCAATTTCTCAGTTAAAGCCTTTCCTCATGCAAGGCATATTCTGCAAAGGATAATGTGAATTCTTCTCTCGTTTATTTTACTTTGTTAAAGTACATAGACATAAGAGACCTACATTTCCATTTTACATAAACAAACTTCTTTTCAATTTGCTTTTTGAAGTAGAAATCCAGGTTTGCAGAACTCTCTTTCACTCCCTGTCAAGGACATTATGAAAAACTCTGTGCTTGCCAGGCCAGTATCACAGTAACTGAAAGGAATCAGCAATTCAAAATAAGGATTTCTACTTAACCTAAAAGCGTGTCAAAAAAGAAGAGGGCAAAAAAATTTGCATCCAATCTGCAGGGTGTTATGCCCTAACTCTAAAGCACAATGTTTTTCTCTTATTTCTGTACTGCATATTTCAGTTTAACATCTTCATGAGAGACATGCTTTGCTGCTACGTCCCCCTCTCCTCCCAGCCCCAACACACCTGGTATGAGAGTGCAGCTCACTGGCAAGGCAAAGAAAAGCAGCCCTCCTCCTCGGTTCCTTACAGAGCTGGCCAGCCAGGGCTAAGAGAGCAGAGCAGCCCCTCCTAGAGAGCGCCAGAAGGGAGGAAATCCAGGCGGAAAGAGCATTCTGCAGACAGCCAGTAGAAAGAGAGGGGATGAACAGAAGGGTCCCACCAGCAAGCCCAGAACACATTCCATGCTGTGCTTAGGGCTGTTCCCCACCTCCCCAGCAGAAATGCAACCCCACCATCTAAATCATTAACTGGCAGGCACAGGGAAGGGAGGAGGACAAAGGAGGAGAAGTTATGAAGAAGGTGTTTAAGAGGTCTCCTAAGGCAGCCAGGACTGCTGTCCAAGACTACATGTAGTCCTGTACACCGCAGTTACACAGCTTTCAACTGCTCTGCTACTCGCTTGTTTCCATAACACACTGATGCAGGCAGCACAACCGACTGTTCTTGCTCTAGTAGTAAGAGACTACTACAAACTTGCACTATCAACTTCTTAGTACAGATGTGCATCTTCTGCAGGGCATGTTGTCAAATATGCTACACAGATGCAGCAGCTTTTAGCAGACACACACAGCAGTACTATCAAAGAAGTGCACTGCGGTTTTAGGCGTGGTTAAAGAAAAAAATTCAAACATTTTATCTAAGAATAAAGAAAAAATAACATTTTAACCAAAGCCAAAGGATATGCTGGTGATGTTTTTAACTTACTTTTCCCATTCTATGTACATGCTATTTACCATGAAGTTTGTTTTACTGTCACCTAAAGTGAGCTAGCAGAGGTAAATGCCAGATGTTTGTGTACTTGATACATCACAAAACTGACCTACCTCATAAGAGTTATCACATGTTCTTACCGTATACTCCTTTGTCCAGGAGAAGTAAAAATTCATTCACTGCATTTCGCATCTCGGACTCAGTAAGATCCAGCAAAGAAACAACTTTGAAATCCATCTGTCTTAGCAAATTGGTCAATTCATAGACATCTACCATCGGAGCCTTGAGTTGGGGGTGATTCCAGTAGCTCATATTTCCTATTAACAGAGCTACCTTGTCTGTTGCTGCAAAGACAAGGGAAAAACAAAACCACAGCACGTTTATATATTCCATGGGTTCAAAACCTTTAAATTTAAACTTCTTCTAAAGTGAAAATAGCATCCAGTCTCACTTCAGGCACAATATTTTATATGATTTTAAAAGTCACTCTACATCAGCAACACAGCTCAACTCTCTCCTCATCAAAAAAACCCCAAAAACCCACTTCAGTGTGGTCTGACAGTCAACATACCTGAACTGTGATGCACCTCAGACTGGATAATCTGTCAAGAAGTGAGTCACTAAGGCTATCTCCCATTTCTTTAATTTTTCTGAAAGCACAGAATATTACTGAATTCTCCCACGCAAGAAGAAATTTAATAAACCTGAAAATTCTCATGGCAAGCTGCCAAAGCTACAGCCACTATACTTTTCCCAAAAAATTAGTTTTTCTTATGCTTCTTAAAAAATAAACAAAAAACCAGTAGACACAAAAGACCACTTTCACATCTCCATTGCCATGTCTTGTCTCTCTAAAACACTGTACATTTAGCTGGACATTTACAGGTCAGAAGTAAAGAGCTTTTTTTCTTTTTGTTAAGGTTTCTTTTTACTGTGGCTCTGGTTAAAATCAGTTAGACAGAGATTTGAGAAATTTACAAAATTTGGAGGGAGATACATTCACTGTGATTTTAACAGTGTCAGAAGTAATTCTGTCATAAGAAACAAAGTAGCAATGAAAGGGGAAAAAAGTCACCTTGACAGAAATGCTTTAGAGACCACTAGTCTGATTTTTATCCCCAAATTGCACACTGAGTTACAGAACGGCACTTATTCAAAGCAAGGCATTTCCTCCCTGGCTTGTTACTTCTCTCCAAGAGGAATTATTGTCCCACAGCTCTGGTGGCAAATGAGACCACGTGAATGACCCAAACCTGCTTCAGAGTCAGTACCCCCACACTGGGGGTGTGAGATCCAGAAGAGAGTGTCTGTCCAAAGCCTCAAGGTCTAACATTTCACCTCCTTCACACAATATGTTTTCAACATTTTTGCAGCTGGAAAACTTCCAAGGCCTTGAACAGCGTAAACTATTTTAAACAGCAGAGACTGAGTGACAGTGGCATACTGCCACTGATAAACACTTTCAAAAGCACAAGCTCTCTCATTAGTTTAGAAAAGATGAACCAGGACTCTGGGGAGCACTTACAGCCCCTCCCATACTGATGAACCTGAGTGGTAAAATTTCAACAGAGGCCAGCAGTTTTTCCACCTGGCTTGGCATGAACAAGACAACACGCCTGACCACAGGCAAGTCTGCCGCGCAAACTGAAGAACGTGATTAAAAAACCCCAGCAACTATTCTTCGTGACACACATACGCGATCCATCTACCTTTATGAGCTTCAGCTCAGCATCCAAGCACCCACACACTGCATGGGAAGAGCTGAGCTCGCAGGGGCAGCACCCCCTCAGCAGACACTACCAACCCTTTCTATCACATCAACCTAACGCCGCTATCTCCAGCTGTAAAAGTATTCACAGTAAAGGAGTGAGACACTGGCTAAAGCCATGGCCAGAGGAATTTGAAACAGTACACTGAAACAGAGGAGAAGTTGCAGACGCTCCATCGGGTCACTAAAAATACTAGTGCCCTCACCATAGTTTACTACTGAAAGGGCATGCAAGCGTTATAAAGGACTATAAAAATACACAGAAGTCTCCCTCCCTGCAGCTATGTACACGCCCTACAGTTATTTCACTAGCAGTGGCAGAAGCAGCAATATTCACAAGAAACAAAATCTATTTCCTAGATATGAAACACATACGTTATTACAGCTACAAAACTACTTACCAACAGGTCTGTGATCTGACTGTTCTTGTAGGTCTGCTTGAAAAAGATGAAGATCAGATTGTCAGTAACTGCAGCCATAGTTGCCAATGTCAGAAAGTGAACCACATGTTCCATGTAGCCACAGCCTATTGCTACTGCTTTGCCTAGAAGTTACTGGTTTGAAAGTACCAGTAACTTTTGGTTTTGTTTTGGTGAGGTTTTGGGGTGTCATGGTGGTGGTGTTTATCTGATTTCCTTCACCCGCTTCCAGCAAACATAGTCTAGTAGGATATGAATAGCTAGTCCCATAAATTAAGAAATAATAGATGCTTACAGTATAATTTTGAATATTGCAAACTGCACATCAGCATTTTCAGTAGCACCTGAAACAGTTCATCCTCTCCAAATGAAACACAGACATGTTATGTATCACGATAGTACCACTTCAGTGATTAAAACTAAGTCTTGGCAAAAGTAAACCTGTCTTTGATGTCTAACCCAGGAAATTGCATGGCCTTTGTGATTTGAGATTCTGGGAACACTGTATCAGGTACAATCTCTTATAGAGTACTATTCCAGATCTATTTTTTTATAATAAAGCATCAAACAGGCTTCAAATCACAACATAAATTTAAGAAATATACCAATTCAACATATCATGGGTGACAGCCAGACACCCTACATCTTTTTCACCTTAATCATCTGAAAAAGTAGCAACGTACTAAAACTTGAGAGTCCAAAGAAGACACAGAAAAGAAAGCAAAAGATAATTCCCTCTGTATTTGTACAAGTATACATGCAGTATAAAAGAGCAGCTTTTGTGATGTTACAAAGATAACAGCAACCCTATGATTCACTATATCCTTAAAGTTAATTTATTGGAACCAGAAGGCTGTGCTGCTCTTGACATGGTATCTGCCCCTATTAAATCCCCAGTTATAAATACATTCAAATAATGTAAACTCCATATTGCAAACCAAATATGTTTCAGTGATTTGTAACATAAAAGGAGAATGTGAAACTAAAGTTTTTCAAGACTTATCACTCACCTGGTATTTGAAGATCACTCAGATCTTCTGTGAAGAAATACACCAATACAATCACAGTTTGAACAAGAAGTAAAAAAAAAAAATCAGTTAAGAAAAATTTAAGCGCCATGCCATTATTAATAGAAGCCAGAAGTTGGAAAACAAACTACTTTTCTAAAATACTTTTGGCTTTGCATTTCTGTAAATTTAACCTTTCATATGTTTATTCCACATGCAGAGAAGAGAAAATCCATCAACATACTAACCTATGCTAGACATAGCATCATAATATAGTAGATCTAAAAACAAAGGGAGAAACATATACTATGACTCCATCCCACAGGCATGCAAGCAGCTTGAATGAATAAGGAACAAGACGCCAAAATCACCCATTTGAAAAATTACTTGTCTGAGGGACTGCTGAAAAAGCAACATCCTGAGCAAGAATTCTTACTTTGTAAAGCCATGTGTATTCAGAAAGACTTCAGATACAATTTTCACTACAGTGCTTCAAGGAGTAGCTGAGTTACAGGTAAGGAGGAGGCTCCTGCACAGCACTCTATCAGGTCATGCAGACACCCTCAGGCCCAAAAAGATGTGAAGGCTCAAAGGGATGAGTGGTCTCAGAAGCTATGCCATGGAAGTGGCTGACACAAAACGTGTCACTTGTATTTTCCAGTGAGTGACAGTACACAATCCCCTCACAATGTTAAACCTTTAACAAAAGGGCTAAAGGGGAACATCAGCTCTGGTTAAACTTTGAACAAGAAAAGCTGCAGAGCAGTTTAATTCCAATAAAATAATATGATTCTATGAAAAGATAGGGTAGAGTGCCATTTATTGTACCTTGCAAATGCATGTTTTTTTGTTGTTGGTAGGTAAACTGGGGGGGTGCTGCTGTAAGCAGGGGGTGCTGCTGTAAGCAGCCTTCCATCTCTAGAGATGATTCCCTATGACGTAAATATGACAGAACTTTGAGATGCTTCATAATCAAGGGATGGTATCAACATTAAAGGTCACAATACAACTCTTTCTCCCCATTGCAGCAGTGCAAAGGGGAATGGAAATCATCCTGATCAAGTTGCTGGAAACACCTCTTGCAGATGCAGAGCTGACTGTGGAACTAGCTCTATCCAGCTCTCTAAAGTCACTCGGGTTCCTAAACCTCTTCAGCTTTTCTTGCAAGGATGTTGCCTCCTGAGCCCAGCCCCAGAAATCTCAGCATCTTTACATTTAAATAGAAACTGTAAGCACAGGACACAAAAACAGTGCAAAAACCAAACAACTTTGAATACTACAGAAGAAGAAAGTAGTTTGGTTTTTCTCCCGTGTGCTCTACATCATGGTATTGAGGCAAAGGAGAGAGAAGCACATGCAGAAGGAATGTTGCACCACACACCACTGTTTTAAAATAGACTGAAGCTCTTCACCCATATATGCTTTCACCAACACACTCAACAATCTGTCATCCCCATCGTTAATTTTTAAAAATTGATTCACAACTAAAGATTTACTTTACCTTCTGTGCATTCCACTGCCATAGCTTTCCTTCCTTGTGTTTTAAGGGGGGGAAAAAATTGGAAGACAATTGCTCTCAGTTATGAGAGTTATCAGACAAAGTGCAAGACAAAGGTCAGTTCCAACCTTCTCTGCTGGCTCATTTTCTAGCAGTATAAATCAGCACTGGCCACAACACTGTATAGTCAGCATTACTAAAACTCAGGAGTACTAAACTAGAATATTTCTTAGGATAGGAAAATAATTTTCGTATGAGTTATGCAATAGTATTCCCAGATATATCTGAAAGCTACACAAACAGATCATCTTCTCTTTAGTTTACTGCAAATACATGCACACACACTAAACCGTGTTACATTCATTTATTTTGCTTGCTATGAATAATCTCACGTGTCCTGACTGCTGAAGGACTCAGTGTGACACAGTTCATACCATCAACAAGGGTTAAAGTGGTTTTTATGTGTCAAAAACCATGAAGAAATCAGTCTGTAATCTGCTGACAAGCAACATACATGCTAGCAATGCCAAAAAGTGATAGCATTTCTATGCTAGTTACCATAAAACCCCAACGCACTTTATAACTGCCACAGTAAGCTCTCAAAGTCCATTTGCTGCAAGCAAGCAAGCACAGCTATTTTAACAAATGGATAAACTAATACAGAAGGCTATGTGTTTGGCTTAATACTGAAAGCTTCAAAAATAAATTCTAATGACAGGGAAGAAACTCATAAATCAGCTATATCAAACAGAAAAACTCCTTACCTATAACGACTTCTATCTTGTTGCTGTCTTGATCTTCCCGGTCATTGAATACGTGACACCAATATGTCCCTTGATGTTCCACATCCACATAAGTTACCTGTGCAAGCATCATCACAGTCATTCCTCCAGACCCCAAAAGAATACCTGTATCAGTTTAGTTTAAGCCCACATACAAGAAGGAGTAAGCAAAGCCTAAACAAATCCAAAAGCTGCTGATACTCTCGTTCTTCAGCAGGCTGGACAGCACGTGTGTTCTAGAAATGCTTTCAAGAATTGAAGGAAGAATGCAAATCCACCCCACAGGCTTGGGATGCATTAAGCACTGAATGCAACAGCTCGTACAAATCAGAGTGCTCTGCAGTGCAGGACAGAAAGAGAAGCTTTCACTTTTACTCATACTTAATCTTTCTTATGTCAATATGTCACACTAATCCAAAATACACTATAGCCTTACATCCCGTGACCACCATCTGAAACATGCTCAGGATTAAAATTATGTGCCCGAGAGCCTCAGAACAGTAGGGGCAAGGGAGTAACAGAACAGAGCACCTTAGAGCAAGCAGTTCCATAAAAGATTATCAAGGCAATGAAGAAGTTACTTTCTGCAAGGAAGCTTTATGTGATAAGTTAAAGGTGGTTACACATTAGTCCCCCACAGCTGGCACTTTGCAGTAACTTACCATGTAGACATTTTTGCTCCCATTTGCCAAGGGAATTCCATTTCTGAACCACTGGTAATGAGGAATTGGGTTTCCAACAGCTCCACATTCTAGTATCAAAGCATCCCCCACTGTCAGGTTTTGTGGCTGAGGCTGAATACAAATGTGCAACTTGTTTTCAGGCAAACCAATTAAACTCCCTTAAAAAAAAATCAAAAAAAAAAAGGAAGAAAAAAGAAAAGAAAGGCTGAGACCATCTAACCACATATAGACTAAGAAGAATTGATGACATAGGGATGCAACTTCCTGCAACTACAACAGACTGTTTTAGAAGCAATGAAATTAAGTTACTTGTCCTTTTAAAGTATGCTAAAAATGAGTAGCAATGGCTTTCCACTTCTTCAGTTGAAAAGTAAGAAAGAATGCACATTAAACATACTCCAAAAATTAAAAAAAAAAAAAAGCAGAACCATCTTTGTATTATTTGTTCCTGCCTATAGGATCTATAGGATTACAAAGGCTCCAGAGAAGCGCGGAAGTACAAAGAGTGGCTACTGAAGGACAGACTGAGGATCTTGTGTGTAAGTGGGGACACAAGAATAAGAATTTAAAACTTACAATCAGTTAGCTTTACCATATCCCTATTCTTCTCATTCTAAACTGAGCATCAAACCTGATGGTAAACATGCTAAAAAAGCCCAAAGCTAAAAACGCTTAACAAACATCAGCCACTGACATGTCCCCACACAGGAATGTCTTTGGGAAAGAAACTTACTGAGAAAACACCACATGCATTAAAAACTTGCCCAGCTGATGTAAGTTCCTATATATGACAAAGTTTATTGAAGCAAAGTGTTGAAATTAATTTTTAAAACATCCACCACACACACACACACACACACACAGGTGCTCCACTGAAAAGGTTTCTGATCTCTGTGTACTGAACAGTTTGATTAACTGGCACACACTACAGCCAGCCCAGACCTACTGGTAAAGGTCAGAGCAGGGATCTTTGATCTCATCTGCAAGGTCACTCATCTTTACTTCTAGACTACACACGTAGACACAGGTTTTGTCATCAGAGCTATTCCTGACTGACAATTAGGGGGTGATGTAATTTTCCTTTGCATAGTACAATAAAGGGAGACAGTGATACAGATATCTCTGTTCTAATAGCGTCTGCGCTTCTCGGAGCGTTATAAACTTGTATTTCAAACATTTTACAAACAGATGTTTCCTATTTATGATCAATGCTAACTAGCATTTTTAAAAGAAAGCTCTATTTCCTAATGCAGACTTGATACTGGTAAAAAGACTGAGCAAATATTCTGTGATATGACCAGTGCTGTACAGCATTTCAAATACAGAGACCTTGGCTTACCATGTTCTCTATCAACTTCTATAATGGTTTGTTTGGTTTTTTTCTTAGAGAGCTTTGTTTTCTGTAACTTTTATCATAGAAAAAATTTTTATTTGTCAAAATAAACATTACTCCCTTTCATTCAGCTGTTTACAGAACCTTCTCTCTCCATCCTTCTCAATGTCACACTTTGGTATCAGGATCTTTCAACAAAATGTAAAGAATTAACTTCCCTTTAGGACAGAAGGACAGAAGTGAGATAAGATGGAAAGGAACTGCTGCTGTAGTCAAATAAAACAGGGTTAGTCTTTAAGACAAAGAACACAAAAGTTACAGATGTAATTTTTTCACAGATGTGGAAAGAGAACATGACTTTTCAGAATTGTGTCTGGCTGCCTCACTGATCACAAGCTCATAAGGCAGCTATGAAATACAGCTTTTACAGAATGGAGAATAGTCAAGCTCTCATTAAACAGAAAGCAAAGAAAAGAGGAAAAAATATCTGAAAAAAGAAAGCAACCAAGGGAGCAGGAAAAGAAAAAGGGGAAAAAAAAAAAAAGCCAGTCAGCAGTTGAAGATTTCATACCTAGTCAGCATTTGCACAAATGATACTGTCAGCGTCATCTAGTTCAATCGAAACACCTCTAATCCCAGGCCAAACGCTACAGGAGCTGGAACACGTTCACTCAGTGCAAGCACTACATACTCCTTGCAGGTTTGTTTGTAAGCAACCTAAGAGAGAAAGTTATTGGAAGGAGCCCATCATGCCCTTCATCCTTCTATCCATCACCAAGACCTAAACATACCAGAATTCACTTCCACTACGGTTTCTGGTTGGCCAAGAGTCATGGAACATAAAGCAAAGCACTAGTCTGGGGACACCTGTTGCCCTTTAGGCACCAAAACTTTTGCAAGTGTGAAACAATATACGGCTGTTTTTCTCAGGTTTTTTTTTTTAAGTAGTCATTACAAGCTTATGCATCTCAGCTTCCTGGTGTAATCAGCAAGATCTAAACCTGCAGGTTTCTAACTAAATAGAACCTGAAGTAGGAGCAAAGGAAAAGCAGAATAAATCATTGCTCAGATAAGGGACGGAGAATATGTTTCAGATTAAGATCTAAAAACGTCACCTCAAATGACATTGCAATAGCTTTTGATCTTTTACTGGAAGATTGGTTCTCTCTATCTCTTTTCCTGACATGAATAATTTTTATATGTGGGATGCAAGTGGAAAACACCTTTGACTCGAGACACAAGACAAAATAAGTACTAGTAAGTACTCTTCACAGTCTGAAGGCAGTGCAGTTGATTTCTCTCTCACTCATCTTCAGCCCAATAGCAAGCAAGCTCAGGCTATTTCCAAGTTTATAAAGGGTAGACTTAGTGCCTATTTAATGCAACTGACTATCCTGTAAAACAAACAAACAAATGACCAACCTACACACACCAGAAAACAAAAAGATGCCACTCCAGTAACCTCAGAGTCTGGAAATAAATCCATGGTAATAAATATACTAGATCCAATACGTAAATTTCCAAGATTTTCCTTGTTCTACTAACAAATCCCAGTACCAGCTGGATACTGTTGAGTAGACAGCTATTTAATCTTATTTGCTTTCTGCTATTATTCCATGCTCCTCATGCTTCTTCCACTTCCATTCTTTCATCACGTATGCTGCAGATGGAGATTAATCCATCACTGAAGCAGAGGTATCTTCAAGCCAGCGCCATAAATCCATGTGGACTTACATTGGTACAGATGAATTACTATGGCTTTTCTTATGCAGGTAACATTTGACTGTTAGCTGACCATTTAGAAAACCCATGAAGATGCAATTCACACCAAAAAGACTCAGTTTAACTCATGTGTTTCTTCCTCTCTCGGGTTTATTTCAGTAAATTGTTGGCATGTGTTCACTATGACCTGTGTTGGTTATATTGAAAAGATTGTATTAGCAAACCTGCATTCTGCAACAGACACGTGCAGAAGAGCCCAATAATTGGATACTGCATTTTTAATCAGCCCTCTTCCACATCTGTGCAAGGCAGCAACGGATACCCAAGTTCCGCTACCAAGTGGGAAGACAGGCTTTCAGAAGACAATGTTTTTGCCACTCACCATGAGATGTACCCTGGAGATCACAAACTTCAAGACGTGCCCACCGACTGAACACAAAGGACGATTCACTGTTCACTCGACAGATGTAAAATCCAGAATCATTAACATTCACCGGATTCAACACCAGCTCTGGAGAATTACCCTGGGGAACCTGAGTTACAGGTGAACCAAGAGATAGTTAAATTTAGATTGATTTAATCTAAACCAGGATCAAACATCAGAGTATTTATTTCAATGTCCATAACACTAGCCTCAGCTCCTTCACTTACTTGAAGCTCTTGGATGAGAAAGTCTTGATCTACTATTTAGTAGCTCAGAGACAGGCTTTCTTCCAAGAATTATTCATATGCCTCTACTTAAGACAATTCTGAGCTCTTAAGCCAGTTGAAAAGCTCTTCCTGAAATGAGTAATTTTTACCTTTCTTCACCAATAACTTGGAATAATTTCTTAAGCACTACTCCAGCCAGCTCTAGACTTAAGATACATTCAACCATGACCAGGAAACTGTAACATTCTTTCACAGGAAAATAATTTTTAACTACCTCTGTAGTTTAACTGTAGTGAACAGGAAATGACTGTAATCATATTTTTAAGCCATGTTTTTAATCATCTAGATAAACTTTTGGAAAGGTGTAGGAAATTTGTTAAAAATTTCAGTCTTAACAGCAATTTAAAATACCATTAACTTACTGCATTTTTAAAAACAGTACTTAAAATAAAATAAAATTAAGAAAAAAATGCATTCATCTTGTAGAAGGACAATCAGGACCAGAAATACGGGTATAAGTGCTGCCATTCAAATTCCAGAGATACCAGCTCACGTGCATGCCAGTATGTTACCAAAGAAGTCTGTGGCACCACCAAATTCAGGCCTTCAACTTTTCATTCTTAGGAAACCAGTTTCCATCTGTCCAAGACCAGCAGAGACTGGCATTTGTTCCAGTGTGGCAGTTTCTCAGTGGTCTGTGTTTGAGAGACAGCTAAACTGACAGTTTCCGTGCTGTCGCATTCCGAGATCAGGCTCCGAGGATGAGGTGGTCTGAAGATAAGGAACCACCTTCTTGTTTTACCACACTGAGAGGGTCATCAGGCAGCATTTCTTAAATTTCTATTTTTATTAGTATATATAGCAATCTTCTCTCACGGTAAATAAGAGTAACAGTTAATCCAAAATAATTACCTATTACTTTCACTATTTAAAAAAACCTATATTCTGTATCAAACATTACCTCTTTTTCCTGCTTGAACCACTGGTAATGGACAAATGGGTGTCCTGTTGCCCAACAACACAGCTTGACAACCTGACCAGAGAGCACTGCTTGAGAGTCTGGCTGTACAACAATCTTTATACCTTTAAAAAAGAATTTAAATATAGGGAAGTTATTAAGAAATACAATTCTACAATTTATATTTGCACTTAAATTGACCTTTGAGCTAAGAAAGTTTCTGTCATCAAATATTCTTGAAAAAAATTTGTTTGTACTGTGTACACATGCAGTTCCAATTAGTAATATGATTTTAGGACATTCAAAATTGTCTTATATTACACAAAATCCATGTTTAAATTGATCAGTACTCTAGAGTTTATTGAAGATTTCAAGTAGATCATTCAGGCCTGTTAATTTTAGGATACTACAATCCCTCTTGCTCACTAAATCCCTCTCTACTCCCTAAAGCAAATAACAGTTCAATGGCACGACAGACGCCTTCTGGGAGAGATATTCCCAGTTTTAAGAGTTTGATCACTCCCAACAATGTCTTTAAATTGTTCATCTTCAGATTAAGATTAAGCACAGCCTGAGGGATGGATCAAAACACTGAAGGTTAGTTTAATTACAACATAGTGCGTTCTTCTACTATTCCTCATGCAACCTCATCAGCTGAAACACTGGTTTCAGCTTTATGCCTTTGGCTCCTGTAGAACACAGGGATGGGGTTCTCTTCTGCCAGTCTGAAAGGTAAAATTTTCCACTTCAAATTTTAACTGCCAGGAAACAGCATGAGCGAAATTCTGATACCGGTCTGATATGATCCGGTTGTTTTTTTAACCTAGACCATTCCATAGATCTGGTTACAGCATGACTGCAAACACAGACCCACTGCTACAACCAAGGTCATCAGAAGGGGCTTGGGGAGGAAGTGTAGAATAGAAAGTTTAACCTCACATTGCTGTCAAAGAATACCTGGACCTATGGCCAAGGCGTTCAGCAACACTGAGCTGATAAAACATCAGAAATCATTAGTTTAAAGCATTATTTGCTCTGGATGGTAAAATGCATTTAGCAATGGGACCAGTGGGACCACAAGCAATACTACACATTAATGACTAGTTGCTGCAAGACTAGTGTTGTGGGTTAACCCCGGTGGGCAGATAAGCACCACATGGTCCCCCACCCGCAGTGGGATGGGGGAAGAGGGTAAGGAAGAACAAAACCAAGAAAATTTGGAGGTCAAAATAAAATGAACAAACAAAAAAATAGTAATAATCATTTACTAAGTGAAGGATGAGTGGAAGAACAGGGAAGAAAACAAAACAAGTGATGCAAAGGCAACTGCTCACCACCTCCCGTGGGTAGGCCAATGCCCAGCCCAGGCAAAAGATGGCTAGCCCCTCCAAAACCCCCTCTTTTCCCTTTTCTTGCTGAGCATGATGTTCTGCAGTAGGGAACAGATCTTTGGTTAGTTTGTGTCATCTGCCTGATTGTCCCCCCTCCCATCCTATTGCAAACCCCCCTTCACCATGTGTTTAACGGCTTAGTCATACATCAGAACTTTTTCCTCACAGAGAACGTTTGAGGAATGAAACCACAATAATTTGATCAATGGGCTGAACCCCGAGTGCAAACCCTGTGGTCAACAGACTGAAACTGTACGACACTTGGAAGTCACATAATCTTCATCTAGCAGGGAAACAGGCTGTATTCCTCCACACACAACCTTATTCTGAAATAGCTGATCACACAGGCAGCTACTCCAGAGTAGCTGTAGGACTTGAACATTCCCTGCCTTTCTTCCTCTAAAATAACTTCCCTCTATACCCTCAAGATCGCTGCCTCAGTTCCTCATTTAACACTTCCTCCGCTGTTTCTCATATAGTTAAAGCATCGTGTTAAGTACAGTTTTTAGGCACCACAATCACCTAACATTAACCAAGACAAAAAGGAATTCTATTATTTCAATATAAAGGACAGAAAAATTAAGACAACTTGTTCTTTCCAAGGACTTCCACTTTTTTTTTTTTTTCTTTTAAATCTCTCCTGATTTGTATCACTAATATCTCTTATGGAAGTAGTTCAGAAAAACAAATTCTCTGAAAGATTAATATTTTGCACTCCTTTGAAGAATTACAAACAAGTTTTAAGAAATCTGTTTCATAATTTCTTCACAGTTTCTTTTATTTTCCTGCAATTCATTCTGTACTATACAGCTAATTCCTGCAAGCATCACAGAATTTAATGGTTCAAAAAGGAAACCTTCTAGCTCAATTTTGTGACTTGATTATAAAGATATACAAATTCTTCTTTAGTATTCCTTGGAAAATGCAAAGCTTGAGTTTTACCACCAAGGATGGCAAACTGACATTTACAGTTACCAGACTTTGAAACATGCAGTGCAAATGAAGCATTCATAATCTTAACTATGACCCAACGGTGTGGTTCTTGGCTTACACACCGGTACACTTCTTCAGTCATTTCTGGAAACTCAGCCTCATTTACTCACATTCAGACTGAAGCACCTAAACTGCTGCAGCAAGAGACCTGCAGAGGAAAAACACCTCTTTGCTCTTGTCTCAATCACCACAACTCAGTGAGGCTGCACAAGGTCTAGACTGTAATGCCACAAATTGTATATTAAGCCTTTTTCATTCTTAGCCTGGGAGAAAGCTCTTCACATTTCATTCATTTCCAGCAAGTTTGCAACATGACAAGATAAAAAAAAAGGAAGAAAAAGGACAGAGAGGTGGCCCAAGGAACAAGCTGCCTAGGCTTTCTCATTACCAGAAAGGAGAAGTTTTAAAGTCACTATTACTACTCTTTTATGTCTTTATAAGAAGATCATCTATGGAGTTAATGTAATATGGCAGGCACGTCTATAAGCTCTGAGAGACAAACAAGTTCTACTTCTTGGCTTGTTCCCTTCAATAGAAGGATATCTTAGCTATCTATCCAGCTCCCTAATTGATACCACTATGTCACAATTCTGCTACATAGCAAGTTCCTGTTTTACCCAGGATTTAGTCTTCAGTACATATTTCAAAATGTAACTTAACTGACAGCCACACAAAAATGCTCAATTCAAGAGTGGTGATACTTGAGACGATCACAGATCAAGCAAGCACATCACTGGCTCAGTGCAGGCACACTGTAGCACAGTGTGAACCAGGACCATGCTTGTGTTCAGCACTCCCCCAGTAACTGCCCAGGACCATTCTTGTGTTCAGCACTCCCCCAGTAACCGCCCAGGACCATGCTTGTGTTCAGCACTCCCCCAGTAACTGCCCAGGACCATTCTTGTGTTCAGCACTCCCCCAGTAACCGCCCAGGACCATGCTTGTGTTCGGCACTCCCCCAGTAACTGCCCAGGACCATGCTTGTGTTCAGCACTCCCCCAGTAACCGCCCAAGACCATTCTTGTGTTCAGCACTCCCCCAGTAACCACCCAGGACCATTCTTGTGTTCAGTACTGCCCCAGTAACCGCTGTATGGAGAACAACAAAAAGGAACAAGCACTGACAGAGCAGGACAGCACACTACCACCTATGCCTCCACCTCAACTCTTGCCCTCGAGCACAATCCACTCACACTGATATAACACCAGTTCCCCCTCTCCCTGTCAAGCCTACAGTGATATACTTCAGCTAGACTAAGCTATCACGTAACTCATTCAACACACCACGGTCCTCCTAGCACAGTAAGAAGCAGCAGCCTTAACTAGACACAATGGCTGCAAAGCATGATCATAATTTACTCGAAAAATTCCAAGGTTGTCTTAACAACGGTTCTCAGCCCATGGCTTCTTTTCTCACACCGTCCAAAGAACAGGACAGCTCTCAGTATGGCAAGGAGCTATCTAGTCTCATTTCCACTCCCTGCTCTAAAAAGAAGCTTTTGTAACTTCCTAGGAAGCTGAACTTCACCACATCCTGAAGGAAAAGGACATAAAAAAGGGCCCTGGTTTTGTACTATAGCACTTGGTCTACATGGTCTCACCTGTGCATTCCCTTGCGTTGTCCCACTCCTAGACTTTTTGTGAAGAAGCAAGCTGAACATGTTAGCAGAGAATAATCTAGTTTTATCCTAAATTAATATGTTTTTTCTGTCCAATTAGCAAGTTGGGCTGGATCCAATATGCACCAGAACTGGCACTAATTGGACCCTTTCCCTTCAATTAGGGTAAGCTACAAAACACAGTTAACAGAACCCGTAGCCTGAACAGATGGCTGGCAACACTACTTGTCTTTTTAACTCAACCATTTCAGTTCCATGAGCATCTCCCAAAGGAATAGCTTGACACAGAACCCAAGTCAGCAGAGGGAATCACAGCACCTGTCATATCCACGCAGCCAAGTCCAAGTCTACAACAACACTGCATTAAGCCTGCTTATCTACTCGGCTTACTTTTAATTTCAGAATGATATGAGCCAATTACTATGGTAATCATATGAATACCAATTACTAGAATTCAAACAATAAAGATGTTTTTAGTTACTGTAGAAAACAAATACTTCATTGTTTCCAGTATAAAACATACAGCAGCAGTGAGAGCACAAACCAGAACTGACCTGAATGGCTGAGAATCTGGAGAGCCTCTGTATGCTCCAGGGCCTGCAAGAACTCCGCAAGCTCCACCACAGTGCAACCCCGATCTCCCAGCAGCTTCAGGAGACTCCAGCTGGGACTTCCTTCTGGCTCCAGCACTTTGAGGGAACACTGCTCTAAATCCAGAGGGCTACAAAATAATATGACAAAGTCATGGCATAGACCTTCTTACTAATTTTTCCTCAGAAAGGAGCAGAGTTGAAAATAATCTGTAGACAATCAAAAAGATTTAAAAAAAAAAAAAAAAAAAAGAGATGGGAAATGCCTAGCTGATCTGGGCATATCTGCAGTATTTGTTTCAAGTTTCAGGAGTTCAGAGGTTATACAGTGACACCTCCAAAGACAGAAAGTGGTACCAGTGAGCTGGATGCTACAGAACCACCGATGCTCGTACCTAAGAATTCTGGCCAAATGTATTAATAAATCTTCTAGTTTTCACTTTCTAAATTTTCAGCAGAAAAGCAAGTACAGCACTTTTCATTTTCATGTGCCTAATTCAGAAGCAATAAAGAGTGAGTCAGAATCTAACTTGAAAGTCCAGGAAGACTTTGATTTTCACAGTAGTTGTTAAAACAAGCGACTGTGGCAGCTTAACTGATACATACATCTACTGCTACAGTGCAGTTAACTGCTCAAATAAATTCATGTCCAGGTATAAACATGCAGAGTTTTAAATTTTGGTGTTAAATCTTCACGCACTTTCAATCACAGCAGATTAAAATAACACAGATAATAAGGAAATTAATACAGCTACAGAAAGGGAACGCAAGTTTATATATTCCCCATAAAGATTAATCAATGTTTTTTTCATTAAATCACAGTGCCACGGAAACCTGGAGATGAGGTATTTTCACTTATCACTTATACTTTCATAGTATTTTACTGGATAATACAGAGAAACAAACAGCAGCAGGCTCTACAGAGGGGTCATATTGTAGTCCTTGGGTTCTATTGCCCTGTATTAATAAATACAGTCATAACAGAGAAAGAACTCATCTTCACAATATACAGTCAGTGCTGCACTTGAAATGCCTCATTTTTTTGAGATATTACCCTGTAAACAAAATCTTGAAAAGTCACAGGAAGTAAAGTGATCAGGAAGCCATCTAGAGAACGTGACCTGGGCAGAAAGCGTTGGAGAAAATCCGTATGTTTAATACAGACAAGAGGAGCTACAGGAAACAGTCAACACACGTTTTCCATGTTCCCTGCCTAGGGCAAGCAGTTGGCTGCATTCACGCTGAGGAAAGTCAGGTGAGGTACCAGGGGGATGCTTCCCAGGTACAGCGGTGCAAAGCTGGGAACCACACTACCCGCACCCCGTGATTCCTTCCCTGGAAGTCCCCAGGCGGGACCCGGCAAACATCCCCCAGACCAGATGGGCTCCACGTCCCGGATCC